AAAATATGCTTAATACATCTTATTTAGTTTTTCTAATGTCATTCTCGAAAACCAACTCATAAATGAACATTTGATCTATGCTATGAAGTGTAGCTGGGTTACGAAGAATCCCTTTCTAGGTTGATTCTGGCGTACCTTTCATTCCGATTGAGACGGCGCATCGAAGGGATTCGCACATTGGCCGCACCGAATACCGCAGGAGGGTTGCCTTGGGCTTTTGCATGTTGAGCTGTGCGAACAAGACCTCGGCTCACTGTCTTACGACCCCGAGGACTCCTTGCTGAGCTTTCGTCCATCATGTGACTGGCATCGTCAGAGCCGGCAAGCAGTATTCACGAAAATCAAGTAGATCAGATTTTCATACTTGCGTATCTTTCATTTCGTCTGAGAAGGAGGGTCGAAGGGATTCGTGCATTGGCCGCACTGGATACCACAGGAGGGTTGTCTTGGACTTTTGTCTGTTGAATTGTGTGAAGAAGACCTCGGCCCATTGTCTTACGACCTCGATGACTGCGTGCTGAACTGTGTCCGTCCTGTGACGGACATCGTCAGAGCCGGAAAGCAGTATTCACGAAAATCACCAAAAAACACTAAACCGAGATCCTACTTACTTCTTATACCCCCTCACTTTGCGATCTTAATGAGGAATTGCATGATTTAGTCGGCTGACTTGTGCTTTTCATACAAACATGTGAATAGGATTAATAATTGACTTGTTCAAAATATTAAGAAATAGAGTCAAGGAAAACCAGTATTTCGGCCGAAATAAAGAATTAGACATCTCTTAGGCCAGGTTCCTAATGCCACCATCCTGCAAGCCTTCGAAAAAGATGGGCAAATTATTGAGGAAATAGAGCGTCAAGACAATGTATAAAGAAGCAATAACGCTTTCCTCGATCATGCCTTCTTTTAGAGAATCTTCCGACGCCCTCTTCAGATCAGGTTGTTATAAGGTTTTGTGCTCAATTGGTAGTGTTTATGTGGGGGAAACTTGTCGACCCATACACAGAACTGCCAGCAAAAGTTTATGGATCCAGAAATCGGAAGTGACTCAACGTGTGGTCGTTACAGGACACCAGATAGAGTGATCTAAATCCCAACATTTTGCTGAGTAGGGCGACTTCACAGCTAAGCAGAAGATCAGAGATTCGTTTGAAATTAATAAAACAATGAACATCCTAAATAAGAGAAGCGAATGTAGGAAACTAATTAAGAACAATCTCTGGCTGCTAAAGAGAATAAGAGAGAGAGAGAGAGAGA